GCAGTGGGTTGGGAGCAGGTTTGGGGGAAAGATGATGAATTCAGTTTTGGATGTGCTGAGCTTAAGGTGCCTGTGGGATACCTAAGGGGGATGTGCAGGAAGCTGCATGTGGATCTAGTGCTTGGAGATGAGGCCTTGTCTACAGATGGAGGTTTTGGTGTCATGAGCATGTGGATGATTGTTGAAAGCCAAGGCATGGGTGAGAGGCTGCCAGGGACAATATGCCAAGTGAGAAGGAAAGTGACTGAGGCCCAAGCCCTGGTGACACTCCCATGCAAGAGGATGAGCAGAGGGGAGAGGACTGAACTCCCGATGATCAGCTTTGGGGGGCTAGTACATTCTAGGCCAGTGTTTCTCAGAGTGTGTTCTGCAGAGCTCTAGTCTTACAAGATGATCTGTTGTCAAGTGCACGTGGGAACACGGCAGTCTATACCTCCCTCTGAGAGACTCACAGTGTGCACTCTGTAAACACTTTCAGAGCAAAAGCTCTGAAAGGTCCCTCAGAAAGGAAATGTAATTCTCTGTGTTTACCCCATCGTTTCCCATATACACTTGCCCTGGAATAATGGCCACAAATGTCCTGTGCCCCATTAGTTTCAAAGTTATGGTCTAGACCTAATGAATGAGTATTGGAAGGCCCTTTAGCCATCACTGAGTTCAGCCTCCCATTAGGCTGATGAGGAAACTGAGTCCTGCAGAAGCTGAGAGCAGCATTGTGGGGCAATAGAGGAAGCACTGGATTAGGAGGAAGACACACCTGGGTTTAGTTTAAGCTCCATCATTTACTGGGTATGTGACCTTGAGCAAATTACTTCTCTTCCCTGGAATTCAGTTTCCTCATTGACAAGATGGAGATAACAAACCTAACAGTCCTATGGCTGATGGCCCCATGATGCTGTTGGAGGTCCTCAGAAGGCCACTGTGATTTGCCCAGGGCCACAGCTAGAAAGGGCTTATTGTCCCCCCCATCACCCTGCCCTTGGTGGCCCCTTATTTCACACAAGGATGTACTCTAGGGATTGTCTTTTAGTTAAAACCCCGGCAAAACCCACACAGTGGGAATGGCTGCCTTGCTTGGTGGTGCCTCAGAGGTCCCCCCAAGTTTGAAAGGCTCAAAACTCCACCCTCTTCCCCTGCTCTGGGACCTGCCCACTGGTAAAAAGGGTTTTGGACCATAATCCCCAAACACAATCCCAAATGCCATAATCCTGAATGTTGAAATCCCCCAAATCACCATCAAAAGATTGAAATCCCAAATGTTGAAAGCCAAATTCTGGGGAAGGCATTAGTGTGTTTGGGGTTGTACGCAGGATAGTTGCATCATGTTAGGCAGAACTATTACCTTGTCATTATCTTTATTTGGAAATTAAATATGATTTAAGGAGATGCATTCTTTGCAAATTTGACTCCACGAAAAGTGCTTTATCATAAAGTTGATTTTGTCTGTAAGCATTGTGCATATACATAAAAACCTTGAAACTTCCTCCATAAATGAAGAGATGTCTTTTTTGTACATCTGCATTTGTGAAAGATAAACTTTCTTGAGATCTCAGCTCTTTGGGTGACTGTATAGGCGGTGGTGACCCATAGTGGTTTTTGATCAAACTCATCTAAAGACTTGGATTGTCCGTCATGGTATTTCAGATGACTGCAGTTTTAAAGCTGGCTGCACACAATTACCAAACATAATGATATGAGTTTACACATTTCACTTTTTGACTTATTTCTTTATGAATACAGTTCATCTGCTTGTAACGATTATACCCACACAACTGTTGTTGTTATACCTGAGTGTTTATCCTTGCAAAATTATGTGTTATTATTGCCTATTTAATTGTGTAAAGTGGTGTAAGAAGAATTCTGTTTTGTTTTTATATATTTCTCAAGTAAATCCCCTTTTAGAAATGTAAGTGGGGCCGGCCCGGTGGCGCACTGCTACAGTGCGCCACTTGGGAGCTCGGTGGCGCTCCCGCCGAGGGTTCGGATCCCACATACAGACCGGTTCCCGCTCACTGGCTGAGCGAGGTGTGGGAGCAACACCGAGGGTTGCGATCCCGTTGCCGGTCCCAGTCCAGTACGGGCGCGACACTGAGGGTTGCGGTCCGTTGCCGGACACGAAAAAAGACAAAAAGGAAAAAAAAAAAAAAAAAGAAATGTAAGTGAATGCCTTTTAAACAATTTTTAAAATTATTTTTTCCAGAACTATATTTTTGGGATTTTGATCTTTTGGGATTTCAACATTCAGGATTATGATGTTCAGATTGTGTCTTTCAGGATTATGATCGACACCAGGTAGAAAGGGAAGGCTGTGCAAAGAGAATGCTCCCTTTTCTGGTCAAGGGCTAACTAATACTGTCCCTTGGACAGGACTGTGGCTGAAAGGACGAGGAGTTTTGGGGAGTGGAGAAGTGATGTTGGGGTTGGGCTTAGAGCCATGGTGTGCCTCCTTCACAGCTGGATACAGTTCCACAGCTGGGCACCATCCACAGCTGGACACTGTCCTCTAGCTGGCACCATTATGTGGTTACAAGGATCATAGCCTGGGTTCAGATGAAGCCACATGGAACTCCTAGGTCTGTCCTTGCCTGTTAATCACCTGTCATCCCAGGCTACCCAGTGGAACTTCCCCCATCCGACTTTGCAGACCTGAGCTCAGCAAGCTGGAAAGAGGCAGCAGGCAACTTTCAGAATGAAATCTGTTTTCCTAACCCTCCTGTGACAGTCATTCATACGCAACACACTGAAGCATATTTTTAGTCACTTCACAGAATTTAAAATACACCCCGAAGGCGCCAAGAAACACCAGCTTGGGGATTAACTCTGCTCATAAGAGACGGGGGGAGGAGGGGTGTGCCTTGTGCTGTGTCACCCGTGGCTATGCCATGACTCACTGTGGCCAACACTTTCGTGAGATGCACCTGCCTGTGGACGTGGGGTCTGGAGCAGCCCGCAGTGGGAAGTGAGCTCCCGGCACAAAAGGATGCTGTCAGAACCCCGGGTCAGCATCAGCTCCAACCCTGCCACTGACTAGCTGCATGTTCCTGATGGGGTGACTTCCGTCCCCTGGGACATGTCTGTGAAACACGGTTAATCATTATCTGTTTTTGGGGGGTCTGTTCAGTTCTAACATTCTGTCCTCTGCACTTTGTACAGACTTTAATTTCAATCAAAGCCCCAAACAGAGGAACAGGGGAAGACGGTGTGTATGTGTGTGGGGGTGGGGGTGAGGGGGTGGGTAGTCACAGAACCATAGCACCTCTGAGTTAGTGATGGCCCTCCTAAACACAGAAGCCACCCAACCACTCTCCGCAGAAGGAACCCCACCTCCACAGGCGGAGTGACCACTCAGACTTCCAGATTGACTGAATTCCATGCTCCTGTCTACTTCCAGATAGAGAAACTGAGACCCAGAGAGAGTAGGGGTCTTGTCCAAGGTCATGCCACACACCAAGCAGCGCTGGGCTAGGACGCAGCCTCCTGTCTTCCATTGAGGGCTCTGTGCCCTCCCTAGCACTCAGTTGGAAGTCTGAAGTTTGGGGATGTGGTACACTCAAGAGAGGAGGCCCTTCTTAACGTCCTGTTTCTCTTGGACCCCAGTCAGAGCCCTGGCTGTCCCTGCCAGCGGCTGTCACACTGTGGAGCACCGGTAGGGTCTGGTTGCCTACACAAGAAAGAGCCAAGGGGTAGGTTGGGGGTTGGATCCGGGTTTCCCCAGGGAGGTGCGACACCGCCTTCCACGTGGAGGTTTGAGTCCTGGGCCAAGCCCCCACCAATCACGCTTTTTGGTTTTTACGCAGCCCTACCTGAACTGATTAAATCAGGACGTGTGAGCTGCCATCGGAGCTATAGGTTCTCCAACAGGCGCCCCTCACTTAACCATCTGAGACCCCTTCCTTCAGGTTGTCCAAATTCCCTAGGCTCAAGCCCTCAGCCCTCTCTCGGGGTCTCTGCCAGGAGTCCACTGCGGTGCTAGGGTCTGGGTGGAGAGGACTGAGTAGGTGCTGAGGAATCCTGCTTCCCGCACCCCACTCCCAGCTCCGCAGCGGCGCGCACGGCCCCTCCGGGTCCTCGCGGGCTTCCGCGGCCGCGCGGCTCCAGCGTGACTGCGCCCCCGTCGGGCGGGAGGGGCTCTGCGGCCCAGGCCCCCCGCTACCCCGTAATAACTTCGTATAGCATACATTATACGAAGTTATACGACTCAATGTCTTCAATAATCTCAAATAAGTCCAGGAAAAATACATAGGATTTGGGGTTATTTTACTTACCTATACAATTACATAGGAGTTATTTCTAAAAGTAGCAAACTATAGTGGTGGGGGAGAGGATATAAAATTTCATTGTTTTGCCTAAAAGAGCAAAGTTTGAGGGTAGGCTATCCATAACTTACTTCTTTTACACAGGGTAAGCAAAATGAATTAAGTTCTCATTCTATATTAATTCATTGTTTTTATGAGCGTATTTAGAAACCAGCAGTTTTAAAAATCTTAATGATTACCAAAAAGAAAATTTATTTCAAATGTCTCTGGATGGATAGTGCCTCTGGAGTACACTACTTTCACTTTGAATGCGTGTTGTAGTTGTGGATGAGTAATATTAAAATGCCGTAAACAGCAACACTGGACTACTTCTACAGCAGTCAAGCATGTGAAACAGCCCTTAAGGCTTTAGCAGTTCTCAATCCTGACTTTCTCTGTGCCATAGATGTTACAACCCCACAAAATTATATATAGTATATACAGACATACTCACACAAAACACACTTTTCCCTCACATTGTGTATGGATGGGTCACAGTTGTTCTGTTTTTGTTTTCTTCAGTATAACAGAAGGTGAGGGTTGGAGCTTGCAAGTATGGCAGCTGTGCCAGAGAGAGCATAAAGGATGACAAACTGGCTGACGGCAAGGCCAGAGCAACAGAAAGAGGACAGTGGGCAGGAGCAGCAGTTATAGAGAGGTAGTATTTTCACGAGCAGGTCAGGAAACGTGATGATGATGGGGCCCCGGCGCGCAGCAGCCCAAACCGGCCAGCTTGGGCCGCGGGAGGGGGGCAGCCGCCGCCATCCTCAGCTTGGGCAACGTGCTCAACTACCTGGACAGGTACACCGTGGCAGGTGAGCGAGTGCCCCATCCAGCCCGAGGACCAGGACCCCCCGTCTCGAGGTACCCCAGGGAGCTCTTGGTCTCAGATCCCTATATAACAAGCCCTACGTGGGGTCCCTAAGGACCCTCTGCTCAGGCACAACTGGGCAACTGATGCCTCCGTGCTCCGTGGGTCCAATCCAGAGCCCCCACCTCCCCCCATCCGCCCCCCAGGGCTAGGGGTTGGAGGAGTCCCCACCCCTGGGGCAGCCCGCGCGTCCTCGGCAGCCCTTGACGGCCCACCCGTTGTCCTCTTCTCTGAGAGTCTCCTCTGCTTCTCTCTGCGTTCTTGCCTCCGCGCCCCCTCCTGCCGCAGCCTCACGTTTCCCGGCCTCTCCTCCCCTTCCCCCAGCCCAGGCAGTCTGTCCGTCCGTGGTCCGTCAGTTCCTTCCTTCCTCCACCGCCTCCACCCCCCCGCGTGCGTGCGGCGAGTGCGCGCGCCCTTTGCGGGTGTGCGCCAGGGAGACCGGGGTGTGCGCGCGTGGCGGCGCGGGTGTGTTTGCGCGTGTGAGCGTGTGAGCGTGAGCGCGTGGCTGACAAAGGCTCCCGGCTGCGGGGAGCTGAGGAGGGAGGGGCGGGGCGGGGCGGGTCCGCGGCGCCTGGGGACCCAGGATGCGGTTTGCAGCTGGCCCTGGCTAGAGGCCTGAAGACGCCTCCCCCGGCTCTATGGAGCTTGGGGCCTGGGGTAAGGCACAGGCCTCTGGGGCTAGAGAGGGGCGGCCTCATCTGAGCGTCCCCGATCCTTGGGGATGGGATTGGGGTCGATAGAACAACTGGGTCCTAGTCCCAGATTTGCCCCAATTGTGCTTGGTGTGTGACCTTGGGCCACCAGTCTCAGCTTGTGTTTAGGTCTATTTCCCCACTTGTGAGTTGGTTGATCCTGGACTTTTGGGGGATGGACCTGGTTCTGGAATTCTGTTATCCTGGCTCCCCTCCCCAACTTCTCAGAGGTCTAGGGGTAGGGACTTGCCCTAGATTGAGCTGCCCCTGGCTGGGAATGGCACAGTCTTGAGAGGAAGGACTGTGGTTAGGCTGGCATAGGTGGGGGCTCCCTGTGGGAGGAGAGCAGTACTGTGTACCTGGCATGGTGGCCCAGAATGTGCCCAACCACAGCTGAGTAAAATCTGGAGCTACAAAAACAAAGAGAGAGAGAGAGAGAGAGAGAGAGAGAAATTTTGATTCTAAAGACAACTTTGTGGTGATTGAGAGAAGAGAGCCCTGGTGTAAACCACATGTCACCTAGATGCCCTTTTCTGGGCTTTGGTTTCCCCCTCTGTTGCAAGGAGTTTTTGGAGTTTTGTGTCAAGTGGAAGGGAAGGACTCTGATGGGAGAGCAGAGGTTTCCCCCTTCCCCCATTCCTGCTTTCAAAGTCCCTTGCTTCTCCTTTCCTCCACTGGAGGGAGTTGGAAGTGGGTACCAGTGACATTAGTTTCTGGGTCGGGCTGTCCCCAAGAGATTCTTACTTTGGCACCCCTAAGTGCACCATCCCCTGTCGTGTATGTGCCATGTTGCCTGGGACCTGGGAGCTTAGGTGCCACCCTGTGGGGAGAAGTCAGAGAATGTCAGGGACCTGTCATCAGTGCAAAATAGGCTTTTGTACACTTAGGGGAACCAAGGTCCCAGAAAGTGGACGACAAAGCAAGTGTAAGATCTATCAGTAAGCCGCTGCCTGGCAAGAGGCCTCCCACCCTGTCTCAGCTGGGGAAAGAACGGTCCGCTTGTGGCGCTGTCATACTTTCCAGCTTGTTTTTCCGGCCCCAGACCACCCCTCTGACGTTCTTATGGGAACTGACTCTCAAAGGAGGAGGGGGGGGAGGGTAGGATCAGGGAGGTCTGGCGCTTATCTGCCCCCACCTTTACTTGTGTCGTAGAGTCAGACTGTCGGAGTGGGGGAACAAGATAGAAAATTTTTGGTGAATTGGTAAGGGGGCTGGGGGATGGGGAGTGGTGGCTAAGAGGGGTGTGGGGCAATAGGGAGGAAGGCCCGGAAAGCCCTGTGCAAACACCCGCCTGGGCTGTGCATCACTCCCTGTCCTGGCCCTGGCGCGGGAGCCCGTGCACTGCCCCACAACTAGCACACAACATACACAGATTTCCTCTCCGGATAAGCCTTGCTCCCCCCCCTTCTCTATGGTAGGCCTCCCATGCCCCCCTGTCCCCTGTCCCCAAGTTCAGTTTTTAGGAATATTTACTATCTCTATGGTGACTACTGTGGTTTGATGTGTCTTGTGCCAGGGCCAGGGGAATGTTCATCCCAGGCCTGAGTCCACCTGTTGCTGGCTGGCCCAGCTGGGACAGAGGCGGGGATGCAGACACTCCTCTGCTCAGTCACCTTTGATGTTTGCGCCCACCTGGCCCCTGAGAACCTCACAATTGAGCTCCAGCTCCCCCATCAAAGAATGGGGGGAGTTCCCACTCTCCTTTAAATCCATCCTGTACATTTCTGTTTTTTCACGGTATAGACCAGCTGTATCCAAAAGGAACATGAGGCAAGCCACATATTAATTTGAAATTTTCTGGTAGGCAGACTAAAAAAGTAAAAGAAATATGTGCAGCTAATTAATATTTTACTTAACCCAATGTATCCAGCATATTTCAACATGAACTCAATATAAAAGTTACTAATGGGCTACTTAGTGTTGTTTTTCATACCAAGTCTTCAAAATCTGGCATGTGTTGTACATTCACAGCTCATGTCAATGTCACAGTGGCTAGGGGTCACCAGAGAGGACAGTGCAGGCCTAGAGCTTTGCTGTCAGAGTTTGAGGCCAGGCTCTTCAGCTTACCAGCTGTGTGACCTTGAAGACATCACCTGAGCCTCCTGTGTGATTATTTCCCCCTCTCCACCTCCTGGGTTGTGCGGAGTAAATGAGAGTGTATCTAAAGCACCTGGGACAAGGACAGGCTCCTAGGAGGGCTTCACAAATGTCAGCTGCCTTCTATTCTATGCCTCTGCTCAAGCTGTGCCCCTGCCCGATGCCCTTCCCATTGTTCTGTTTATGACAGTCCCTTTCAGGACACCTTTACAAACTCCTCCCTTCTGCACCAGGGCTGGTCTCCATCCTGGGAACTCTAGTAGCTTGTGCCTCTGCTCTGCCATTCCCAGTGCCACCCGGTGATCCAGTTAATTATGGTGTCCTCCCCATGAGAACCCCCTGAGGGCAGCAGGCCTCAGAGCCAGGTGAGTAGGGCCAGGCTCCAGCTCCTGCTTTTCTTACTGAGCATTGCTTCAGTTGGATGAAATTGAGGGAGCCTAGAAGCCTTGTCTAAACCCTTCCCTCACCTCTTGTGCAGATGGGGACACTGACGTCCAGAGAACAAAGGCACCTACCTAAGGTCACATGGCCAGGCAGAATAGGGCCAGAATGCCCCAGTGGAGCATTCTCTCCAGCCCCAGGAGCCTCAGGTGGAGGTGGGGGCATGCCCCCTGCTCTGTCCCGGAAACTCAGAGACCCTGCTGGTCAGGACAGGAGCCCTTCTGGGCAGATGAATTTCAGTTCAATTTAGCCCAAGCAGTTTGAGCTCCCCCAGGGCACGTGACTCCTGCTCCCATGATCCCTACCAACCCAGCAGCTGCCCACTTGTGACCGCCAGGTCAGGAAAAGGAGGGAGCCCCTCAGGAGAGGGTCTCAGGCCCACTCTTTCCAGCTCTGCCCCTGGGCTCCTGTTCTTCCATCTGTTAAATGGAAGCAGAGCTGAGGGTGTAGGTGGCAGCGTTTTGCTCCTGGAACCAGGTCTAGCAGGAGGGACTGGCCCAGGTCCCGTTTATGGTTGGTGAAATGACTATTTGGGAACTAAGATCCTTACCTAACTTCTCTGGTGCACCCGTTCCCTTCTTGAGACCTATTTTCTTTCCCTTTGATCCAGCTCATGGCAGACTGGGCACTTGGAGTTGGGTGGCGTGGGGGCTGGTGATGAGAGGCAGAGCCCTGCCCTGGGGGAGTCCTTTTCTGCCAAAGAAGCTGAGACTGGTATCCATGGCAACCGCTCACTAACACAAACCCAGAAGGAGAGATGAGCACAGGCACGCTGCAGGGAACACGGGCCTAGCAGGGCTGGGGGGCTTCCCCCGGGCAGCTGAGCAGGGTGCAGAGGGAGGGGCTGCCTCTCCTCTCAGTTCTCTTTTTGTCTGCCCACTTGAGTGTGCCGGAGCTGATAGATGGGGGAACTGAGGCCCAGGGTCTTTTACAGGGTCACCTGGGTGGGTAGGGGTCAAGCCAGGCCCAGGCTCATAGCTCTGTGGCTATCTCTGTGGATAGGGACAGCCACCTTAAGGATAAACTCTGCCCTGCACCCGTGTGTAGCCCTGTCCCCTTAGTTGGCTCTGCCCTGGTCACTGCCACATCTGCACTGGGGGGAACCCCAGCTGAGGTCTGAGGGGTGGGGCACCTAGAGCGCCTGTCTGGCAGGGTCACCACCCAGGTGAGCTGCTGGGTGGCCTGGAATGCCAGTGCCCTCGTGACTAACTAGAGCTGCCCGTTCCCTTGCTCCTACTTCCTCTTCAGGCACCTTCGGGTTGGTTCTGCCAGCACCTCCACTTTGCAGTTGACCTGTCGGGGGGAAGTACCTTGAAACTCACTACCTTGTTCTGGCACCCAGGGCCAGTTACCACCCTGGCCTGTGCCTTCGTTTCCCAATTTTGAATGGGGGATTAAGGCCTCAGGGCTTCAAGTTGCAGCCTGGTCTGAGAATGAGGCTGTCCTCTCTCTTCCCCACTCAGGAAGTGACTTTTGTTTCTGCCTGGGTGTGGGGCCTGAAATCTTGAGGGTAGGGGGATGAGAATAAGGCAGACCAAGAGAACACTGGCCTGAACCCCAGGCTTCTGGGCTGGGCTCTGCATTGGGCCCTGAATGTCTCCTGGGCTTGGCCAGCTTTGCCAGCTTTGCTGTGTGAGCCGAGGCAGATTCTGACCCTCTCTGATCCCTGTATCCACTATAGATGATTTTGTTTCTCTCTTGCTGTGGTCATGGT